AGGCCGAGGCAGGCGGTCGAATGCCTTCTCAAGGTCCAGGAAGGCTAGGTAGCAGGGTCGCCGCTTCTCTCGGTACTTCTCCATCAGCTGTCTGGCGATGAAGATGGCATCGGTGGTGGACCTCTCGGGCATGAAGCCGAACTGTTCCTGCGAGATAGGGACAAGCTTCCCTCAGCCTAGTGTTGACCAGGCGCTCGTACAGCTTCATGGTATGGGGAGTCAACTTGATGCCGCGGTAGTTGGAGCACTCCGTCGCGTCCCCTTTCTTGAAGATGGGGACGATTGTGCTGCTCCTCCACGCATCTGGCATCCTTCCTTCAGCCGTTACGTTGTTTAGGAAGTCTGTGAGCCAACTCACCCCATGCTCTCCAAGGGCCTTCCATGCCTCTATCGGTACCCCGTCTGGACCCACTGCTTTCCCAACTTTCATTCTCCCTAGCTCCCGGCGGACTTCATCCTTCGTCCAGGGAGTGATGGGACCTGCCGTCGCCTCTATCTGTGGGCTATCCTTGCGGGGGAATTCTTCGTTCAGTAGTCCCTCGAAGTATTCTTCCCACCTCTTTCTGACTTCGGCTGGTTTCCTGAGAATGGCCCCGTTGATGCTCTTCACAGTCTTCACGACCCTGATGTCCTGAGCCGAGCTTTAGCCAGGCGGAAGACGAACTTGTCCCCTTCTCGGCCTTCCAGCTTGTCGTACAGGGCGTCCATTTCCGTATTCTTGGCCTTAGCAACGGCTGCCTTGGCGAGTCGCTTGCAGCTCTTGTAGGCAGCGTAGTCTTCTGGGCTTTGTCCCAGCGTTTGTATGCTTCCTTCTTCTGCTTGACGATCCCTGGACTTCCTCGTTCCAGAACCAGGCTGCCTTGTCTCCTCTGATACCACCGCGCGTCTCTCCAGGACTTCCTTTGCACACTGTAGGATGACCTCTACTGCGTAGGTCCAGGTGTCCTGGACTGGCCCATGTGGGTCTGGGAGCCCAGCCTCCAGTATTCTTCGGCCGAGGCTATCCTTTTCTACCTTGCCCATTTTCCACCACCGAATTCTTCGCTCTGCTCTCACCCTTGTCTTCTTGGGGAGGTCTATGGCGATGTCTGCCAGGAGAGGCCTGTGCTGAGGGCCCAGCTCTTCCCCAGGCAGTACCTTGATATCCTTGACGGTTTTGAGAGACGATCTTCTGACCAGGACATGGTCGATTTCCGTTTGTCTCCCTCCACTGCTGTAGGTTATCTTCTGAGTCCTCCTTTTCGCGAAGAAGGTGCTACAGATTGCTAAGTCGTGGGCTGTGGCTAGGTCAAGGATCCGTTCTCCCTCAGCGTTCTTTGTCCCTATTCCTTGGCCTCCGTGCACCCTTTCTAGACCCCTTCTGTCACTTCCCACATGGCCATTCAGATCCCCAGCTATGGTGAGGTAGTCTTCCGGAACCGATCTTATGGCCTCGTCCAGGGTCAGGTAGAACTCATCCTTTTCCGCCTCGGAGCAAC